TTCAAAATCCTGATGTTTCAATGAAATCAACTCTCACTTCATAAACCCAATTTAGTCAGCCTCTCATCTTTGGCCGCTGGAATGAAAGGGTTGTCCTATCTAGTGAACATTCACTATACTGCCTCCAAAGCAAGTAAATTTCTTTTGTGGTTGTAGACATGCTCGCCAAGCCGGTAGATTTGGATGCAAACGTTTCGTCACCCTGCTAGGTAACATCGTCAGTGCATCATACATTTATGATATATAAATAACAAGTGGGACAGAACACCCACGCTTCACCGGAGGTGCACTGACAATGTTACCTAGCAGGGTGACAAAACATTTGCATCCAAACCCACTGGCTCAGCGAGCGTATCGACAACTTCATCCACAACCTGAGCTACAAATCTTCTCAAAACTTTATATTTTTTTTGTATGCTGACTGAAACTGCACAGTTTTCCCAACGCGGTCTTATCAAAATCCTCAATTGTAGGAAAACACCCTTACTCTTGTATTCCAATCCACCTGTAATCAAGGGCAACACATCATTTGCCTTCCTAACTACTTGCAGTAAATGCTTGCAAAATTGTATTTCCAGCATAAACATACCAAAATCTCTCTGAACATCTACATTGAAGTTTCACACCTTTTATTCCTTTGAGTAAAGTGAATATCCTTACACTTCACCCACATTATACTGCAAACTGTTTACCAATCATCAAACTTGTCTATATCTCTTTATAGCCTGCGTCCTTAGTTTACATTTCACCTAGCTTTCTATCTTCAAACTTATACACTATCCATTGCCACTTCATCTAGAGTATGAATATAAATTGTACTTAAGAGGCCACAATACTGAACCTCATGATAATCCAATAGTCACAGTTTAAGTTGAAAATGTCTCATTCATCCCTAATCTCTGCTTCCTATTCATTAACCAATCATCTTAAACATGTTAATTTGTTATGCCCAGTTCCACAAGTGTTTATCTTGCCTAATAACCTTTTGTGTGGCACCTTCCCGAGTTTCTTTTGGAAATCTAAATAACTAGAGGTTCTCTTATTTATCCAATTGCTACATCCTTCTCTAGCTCATGGCTTCCCTTTTGCAAGTTGAAGCTGCTCTTCCTGACTTCCTCCTCACCTGCAGAGCTCTTTCTCACAGCAGTGTTTAAGAGAGAGAAGTGGTAAGGTGTGGAGAAGGTCCATGATATATTATTAGCAAACTTGTGTTCTAAAGTGGTCAGAACCATATAAAGCCCCAAGTTCGATTTGTATTTCTATACTGTATGTATCAATAAAGGGAGACATAGTTTTAGTTTCATTCTTGAGTTCTCAGAGGGACAATGCGTTGTATGGAAATTTATTGACACACATTTAAATAAGGCTTTGGAAACCCCTGAATTAAATAATTAAGTGCTCAAAAAAACAAGCACATGAGACAAGAGAAAAATTCTGGTAATAAAAATGTCCTATGACAAAGAGATACAGAGATACGGCCATCCAGAAAGACAACAAGCATGCAGGTTACTTTCAGAGAGAGAAGGTCATTTTGATAGAAAAATGGCCTGTAAAACAGCAGTATTAGTTAGCAGTCTAAATAGTCAAGGCAGAGGGAAGGTCCTGAGCGTGTTAATTGCAGTAAGACAAAAGCTCCAAAAACAGAAGGCGTGGAAGAGCAGTTTAAAGAATCCTTGTTAAGAAATATGTGAACTGTGTTAGCATTTTAAGGCTCTCGTGAACAGGACTGCCACACTAAGTTTTGGGTATCTGTAATGGTGATATTTATGGTCAAAGGGATGAATCTATATTTCTCATATTTGTTATAAGACCACTTCAAATAATTTTGTATATTGTAACAGCTGGTGTTTAATTTTTTTCTTTTCGTTTAATAGACTGAATGTTCTTTTGTTGAAAGCACTTTGGGAATCTCTTTATAAGTTTAGTTCCGGCCCACAAACAAATATTAAGTCAGATTTCACTGTGGGACTGGATATGTCCAACATTCTCACCAGATACAAAGGAAAGAGGCAGTAAGCAGAATGTTCAGTAAGAGGGTGGGTCAGGAACCAGGACATGAGATAAGCCAGAGGATCAAAGAGCAGGATCAAGCTAATAGCAAGCTGAGGGTCACCAGTAATTGGGAGGATCAATGAGTGCGAGAGGCCAGAACCTGAACTGAGGAAAAGGCTGAAGTAGTGAGCAGGAGGCAAACAAAGGTGGCATATTTCTTTATTATTCTAAGTTATAAAAAAAGTTATTTAATTTACTAACAAGAATTTAGTAATGTAAAGTAATTCAATTTACAGGACATTTTTCCTGAAGAGCAAGGTCCCAAAGAATCCAACTACAACTTTTACTTTGGTTACGATGGTACAATCAGATTCACAAAGTTATGGTTTCAAAAACAATTACAACTTTGAGTGAGGACTTAATTAATTTCAATATTAAACTTAGCATAGAATATATTATGATTACTAGTTTCCAGCAGATCCTCTATTAATATTATTAATTAGTCTGGTGTCATTAACCAATACTAGATCTTAAATACTTTTATTCCAGATGGTTTCATAATGCATTACTCCAGGACATTATCCTGAAAATATTCTACAAACCTTGCTGGAGTCCAATCTGTGTGAATTAAAATCCCCTACAATTATAACACTACCATTCTTCGAGCTCCAATCATTTGTTTAATGCTTTGACCAATGGTATAATTACTTCTAAGTAATCTAATGAGACAATTTTAGGTATCAATTTTGTTCTAAGAAACAGCTATTTCAACATTTACTGCCCTGAATATTTGCTGCCCAATTTTCTTCATTGTTAATTCCATTTAATGGAATATAGGTTCATCAGGAATTTAAACCAGGGTCTCTCTCACACTGATACAATGACATTCTTGGCTGGGTTTGTGATACAACAGTAATGTTTCTGACTCCAAATCAGAAGGTTGCATGTTCAAGTCACATCTGGCTCAAGCTTTACTACCGCTCAAGTCCATAGATTTCCTAGCAGTTAATTGCAGGGGGCTGGTTATAATTTAAGGGCTTTTCTGGCACAGTGGCAGTGTCCCTAATCATGAATCCAGAAACCCGGGTTCAAGTCCCACCGCTCCAGAAGTGTGTAATAACATCACTGTACAGGTTGATTAGAAAAATAGGTTAAATTCAAAAAATGAGACAATCTTGTTGCAGGAAACAGTCCTCAAATGAGCAATCAGGTTGATTAAAGACATGCAATTGATATGTCCTAGATTAAGAAACATTTCATAAAGGACCACATGAAAACCTGATTAGCAAAACTGAAGGTCATGGAACGAGAGTCTGTGTCAGTTGGGTTTTTTTTTAAAATGCCATTGTTTACTATCGTGACGAGTCAGTGCTAGCTCCATTTTTTTGGTTGATATAAAACGGTTTGGTTACTGGAATATGGAGTAAAAATTCAAACTTCCCTAATGATAACAAACAAATCATGAAATAATACTAAGAGGACTGTCCCTTTATAGTTGCTGAATTAAAACCTGGAGTGCTTTCCCTAACAGCGTTGTGGCTATATCTACATCAAATGGACTGATCAAGCAACCCCTTCTCCAGGTCAGCTAGGGACGAGCAACAAAAGTTAGCCTAGCCAGCAAAACCCATACTTACTGAATAAATAACGATGAAAAAAAATGAGAACCTGCTTCTGAAGTGCTGGAAGTGGAGACAATTCACGTTTTTGGAACGGAATTAGATGGAAATAAGAGGAATAAATCTGTGGTAGAACAGGGATAAAAACAACGAACTTGAACTCTCTGAACTATTCTACAGAGTTGACATGGTTACACTGTGCCAATACTTCTATGGCATGTTCTGAAGTGGATGTGGAGCCCTTCAATCAGACAGGAGGGTGCAGTATGCGAACATCTAAGGCTCTTGCCCAACATTCCTGCTCTAAATCAACTGAGTTCCTTAAGTAGACAATAGTTGCCTACTGCTGCTGGTATTTAACCAACAGCTGTGGGACTTGCCACACAAGGAAACTGACAAGTAAACCCATAGGGAAAATCTTCTTTCGTGTGCATAAATGGACGAAGCATCAGGAATGGGATTGCCAGCTGGTCATTTGGAATTCACTACTCTAGAAAACTGTGGATACCCAATTGTTGACTACATTCAAGTTGGACTCTGCTCAAGTTTTGGTTACTCAAGAAATTACAGGTTCTGGAATGGTACAGGAAGATGGAGTTAAGCTAAAACATCAACATGATCAACATCAACAGTTTTCCCAAAAGATTGGGAAAACTGGGTCTGTTTTTATAGAATCCCTACAGTGTGGAAACAGGCCCTTTGGCCCAACAAGTCCACACCGACCCTTGGAGCATCCCACCCAGACCCATCCCTCATAACCCATCTAATCTACACATCCCTGAACACTACAGGCAATTTAGCATGGCCAATCCACTAGCCTGCACATCTTTGAACTGTGGGAGGAAACCGGAACACCTGGAGGAAACCCACGCAGGCATGGGGAGAATGCGCAAACTCCACACAGACAGTTGCCCGAGGGTGGAATCGAATCCGGGTCCCTGGCACTGTGAGGCTGCAGTGCTAACCAATTAGCCACTGTGTTGCCCATTTATTAGAACAGACAAGATTAAGGTATGATTTGACAGATGTTTAAAATAATGAAGTGATGGGAGATGAAAAAAATAAAAGAGGACTGTTTTCAGTGATTGCAAAGTCTACAATGGACTACATTGCCACAAGGTAAAAAGGCCAGGAGCAAGAGAAATAATGTAATTCCTAACGGAGGGTTGGGTCAATCGAATGGATCACTGGTGTACGTAATTGAAACATAGATCATGCCAATATTTAAGGATAAACTAGATCCTTAATTAAAGGAGAAAATAGGACTACTGAATGTCTGGAAGACACTGGGCCTGAAAACACATTTATAGTAACAGTTGGAAATTACAGCAAGTTCTGCCATACCATGACAATCAAAAAAGCACGTATTCCATTGAAAGGCAAAAATACCTCATCAGCTTCAGATTCAGTTTCCATTTTTGGCATCTCTGTCTCATCCTCTTTTTTGTCAAACAACTTTGCTAGTTTTGTTATTTCTTCAGGTGTACTGTTTTCGGACGATTTATGATCGCTATTGGTGGATTTCCCAACTTCCACTTGAGAAGTAACAGTTTTTGATTTATGTCGCTCATACGTGATAACACTTTCTTCTTTGGTCGGTACAGGCACTCCGTTTGGCAGTTTCACTTTCTCAACCTTCCTAATTGTTCGAACTACTACTTGTGAAACAGCTTGCCTAACCTGCAAATTTCTAAACTTATTATAGGTAGAATTGATGGTGGTTAGTTTTTTCTGATCAGTTTTAATTTGCTTAATTCTGGTCCAACTGTTCCCTCCCTTATGTAAACTATATCTTGTAGTTATGTATTTATTATGCTGAACAAGTTTACGTTTCACACATTTTTGTCCTGAAAACTGAAATCTGTTTAGGCTGGAATAAATTGGCTTTGCCAGTTTGGTTTTCTGAATATCTTCAGCGATTATGGCTTCTGGTTCTTTTTGAATATTTTCATCTTCTGTCTGTGCAGATTCCTTTTTTACTGAAAGATCAAGAGTGTCAGAAGCTATCTCTTCTGCAATTTCTTCACATAGCTCAAGAATACTTTGACGTTTACACTTTGCATCATTTTCAGTTTGCAGACATGGGATTTCCATACCTGAGTTTGGAGTAGAAACTGCATTGTTAGCTTTACAAATAATTTCTGATCGTTTTGAATCTTGTAGGTGCTCTTTCAGAGAATTATTGGGCTTTTTCTTATTTTGCGCAACATTATTCATAGATTTGTTTTGTTTCTTTACAGGCGGTTTCACTCCACTTTTTCCCTTCATATCTTTGATACTACAATTTGCTGTGGCCGATTTCTGAACCTGATCTTCCAAGTTTTTCCCATTTTTTTGCAATCTTGTTTGTGAAGCACCTTTTCTGATTTTTGTTTCAGATAGGTCTTGAGGAACTGGCTTTCCAGATAGAGTCTTTTCTTGAGGAACTTCTGAAACAGTTGAAGTCTTATTAATTGAAGGATTTTCTTTGTTGCCCAGATTAATCTTTCTTTCACCTGCAATACATGCCACTGTTTTGACAACTCGTGTGCTTTGTTCTTTGGGAATTGAAGCTTTTGCTGCTGGAGGTTTTCTCCCAAATTTACCATCTAATTTTGTTCCTGCATCATTGGAAGCCCTCTCTTTTGGAGTTTTCATAACTTTGTCCTGCTTTGTTCTTCCAAGCTTACTTTCTACTTTAACTTGTTTTTGCATCGGCAAAGTATTTTCAGGACTTTTAGAACAGAAATCACTAAATGCCCTTTTTCTCAGTTTTCTTTGAGCAGGAAATACACTGGCCTTGCTGTCTATGGTAAAGGATGATTTTGTTGACAAAGGGCTTGGATTCAGTCTCTGAGATGATCTAGTTGGCCTTTTGATCAGTATTTGGTTAGCCTCAGATCGTTTTACTACCTGTGGAGCATTTTCTTTTGTATGCTTTTGACCAGACCTATTTTGAGGTTTTACCTCTAGTTTGAGCTCAAGCTTATCCTTACCAGTGGAGTGATGCTGTGATGATTTTAATCTTATTGTCTTTTTTTGCTGAAGCTTCTTTGCAGATTTTGTGCTAATCTGTGTCTTCACAGAAGTTTTCTTAGAAACTTTTTTTACCACTGTTTCAGAAGCTTTACGTGAGGTTAATTGTTTAGCACGATTACTCTTGCAAGCCACAGTTTTAACTGTGTTATTGTTAGGCTGCTTCACAGAGGTCCTAGCAGTTACTGACGAAGATTTTAGACCTTTCTTTGCAGGGCTCATTTCGGATACCCTCATGGTTGACTTCAGTTGACCTTGAACATTTTTCTTTGACTGTAATTTGTTTGTTGCAGCTTTTACAGTATTTACAACCATTTGAAGAGATTTTGTTTTAGATGATTTGCTTGACTTTCGTGGAACGTTTTTCTGAGAACAAGTTTTTGAGGACATTTTTAAAGGAAGCTTTTTAAAGGTGGCCTCTTTGGAAATACGCAGATCTTTTTGAGAAAGTTGTGACTGCGAAGCTCGATTACTCTGAGGCAACTTCTGTGAAACTTTCACTGGCATAGATTTACATACAGTTTTTGTGCGCATTTGTTTTTCTCTGGTTTTACTTTCAAGCTGTAAATTGCAAGATCTCCTCCTTGATACTGGGGGAACTACAGTTTTCTTTTGATGGGAAGACTTCAGTAATGCACATTTTTTAATCAAAGCTTTTGTAGATTTCTTCTTCAAAGGAGCCATTCTTTCATTTTTATTAGTGATCAGTTTTGTGCCTTTCCCCTTGCGTTTTGCAGTTATTTTTGCTGATGATGTGTTTGCTTTAACAGTTCCTTTAAGCAATTTCAAAGCTTCTTTTTTAGTGGAGGCCCTCTGCAATTGAACAGCTGACTGCTTTGCACACTCTCTAAATCCAGATGTTGTCATTTTTTCAGCCAAACGTTGCTTTTTGGTTGAAGGTCCACCTCTTGTTGATTCACGACTTGACCTATTAGATAAGTTATTGGTTAGCGGTGGTATTTTCAATTATTAATTCAGAGGAAAGTAAAACTGAATAATATTAAATCATGCAAAACAAAATAGCAGAAATTGCTATTTAGGACACAGGTAATCTAATCAGACTGTTAAGGTACATTTCTGGGGAGCTTTGGGGTGCGGCTGAGGAACTGGAAAGAAAGAAACTAACTTATTTGTAACTCCTTCCTCTGAATTTACTTGCAAAGAATAGACTCACCCAATCTTGCCCTCCTACGATTTCCCTGTAACCCTGCATTTTCCACGGCTAATCCACCTAACCTACGTATCCCTGGACACTTGGGCAATTTAGCATAGCCAATCCACCTAATTTGCACATCTTTGGGCTGTGGGAGGAAACCCGAGCACCCAGCGGAAGCCCACACAGGCGCTGGGAGAACGTGTAAATTCCACACTGTCGTCCAAGGCTGGAATTGAACCTTGGTCCCTGGTGCTGTGCCATTGTGTCGGTAATTGAGAAAGTATTGAAGACACTTAAATTACTCCCTATCCAAGCCCTTAACATTATGCTAATCCCAGTCTATGTTTGGAAAGTTAAAATCACTTATTATAAACCTACTATTTTTACAGTTATCTGCAATCACCCTGCATATTTGCTCAATTTTCTGCTGACTATTCAGGTGCCTATTGTGCAATCTCACCAAAATGATAACCCCCTTCTTATTTCTCAGTTCCATCCATACAGTTTCATTGGATGATCCCTCAGCAATAACTGAAGTACTGCCGTGATATTTTCCCAATCAGAAATGCCACTCCTCCTCCTCTCTCCTTCTATCTACAGCATCTGTACGCCAAAACATTGAGTTGCCAGCCCTGTCCCTCGCTCAGCTATGTTTCTGTAATAGCTATGATATCCCAGTTACATGTTCCCATCCATGTCTTCAGTTCATCTGCCCTACCTGTCAGGTCTCGTGTTGAAATAAACGCATTTTGATTCACCAGTCTTCCCTGCCATACTCTTGCCTGCCTTGTCTATTTAACATGCTCTCTAACTTCTGTACTAGCCTCAACCTTCTTTTGTTTCATCACTGTTTAAGAGTCCCAGCCTTCCGCCTAAAAAAGGGCACAGTAGAGAAAATGAATGGACTACAAAATTGACACAGGAGGAAATATTACAAGCCCCAAGGTCACTAAGTCAATAGTCACCTGGAAAATAGGAAATCATGGCATCCAAGGCAAAGTGACACACTAGATCCAAAATGGGCTGAGGCAGGAAGCACAGAGTGACAGTAGAGGGATGTTTTGCACCTGGAAGACTGTTTTCAGGTTGTTCTGCACATCTTGGTGAAGAGGCCCTTGTTTTTTGTGGTGTATATTAACGATTTAGACTTAAACGGGGAGCTATGGCCAAGGAGGTCATGAATGACAAAAACTGATATGGTGGTAAAAAGTGAGGAGGACAGACATAGAATGCAGGACCATATCAACAAACTGGTCAGCAGGGAACAGCAGTGGCAAATTAAAGAAAATATGAGGTAGTGCACTTGGTGAGAGCTAACAAAGCAAGTGATTACACTATGAATAGTAGACTCGCCCACTTTAAGGGCATTTAAATGGTCATTGGATAAACATATGGATGATAATGGAATAGTTTAGGTTAGATGGGCTTCAGATTGGTTTCACAGGTCGGCGCAACATCGAGGGCCAAAGGGCCTGTACTGCGCTGTAATGTTCTATGTTCTATGAATGGTAGGATTCTTCAAAGTACTGAAGATCAGAGGGACACTGGTATGTGTATTGACAAATCCCTGAAAATAGCAAGGCAGCTAGATAAGGTGGTTAAGATGACATATGGTATACTTACCTTTACTAACTGAGGCAGGGAATAAAATGATAAGAAGTTAAGCTGAAACTACATACCAAATTGGTTAGGCCTAAACTCCAGTAACATATGCAGTTATGATCACACATATAGGAAGGATGTTGCCAGGACATTGCCTGGGTTGGAGGTTCTGGAACAAGGAAAGATTGGATAAGCTGTTTTCCTTGGAGCAGCAAAGGTTTGAGAGGGGACCTGATGGAGGTATATATGATTGAAGGGCATAGAAGGTGGATAGGAAAGCAATGTCTACTGACACCTGCAACTATGAGCAGCTCAGCATTAACACTAAGCTGGAAACATGCACAATTTTTGACCCGATACATCATCTCAAAATTTTGGCACCTTATGCGGAGGGATTTTTTAAAAAAATTCATTTGTGGGATTTGGGTATCGCTGGCTGGCCAGTATATATTGCCCATCCCTAGTTGTCCTTGAGAAGGTGGTGGTGAGCTTCCTTCTTGAACTGCTGTAGTCCACCTGCTGTGAGTTTACCTACAATGCATTTAGGAAGGGAATTCCAGGATTTTAACCCAGCTGCAGTGAAGGAACGGAGATATAGTTCCAAATCAGGATGGTGAGTGACTTGGAGGGGAACTTGAAGGTGGTGGTGTTCCCATATATCTGCTTCCTTTGACCTTCTAGATGGAAGTGGTCGTGGGTTTGGAAGGTGCTGTTCGAGGATCTTTGGTGAATTTCTGCAGTGCATCTTGTAGATAGTACAGACTGCTGCTACTGAACAGTGGAGGAGGAGGGAGGTCACACTACACATGAGCAGAGAAGAAACAGGACACTGAATATACAGCATGGGCATTCAGAATCACTCATCAGTCCTCACATTCTAGGTCTCCTGCTGGAATCAAAATAGTGATGAATGCCATTTTTAATATTGGCAGCCATCCCACTTGTTTCAGCACACCTGCAGACACTTCAAGAATCATATTCAGGAGCACATGCAAGGGTCTCACTACAGTCCACTGCACGTACTCCGTAGTGTCAGCAAATGAAACATTTTCAATTCATTGAGGGCTCAATAACCAGACAGCACAACTTAAAGCAGAAGTTAGAAGGACAGTTGAGGACACATTCACTCGGAGCATGCTAGCAGTCTGCAACTCTCTGCCTAAATGAGTGGTTAAGCCAGAAAGTTTCATTTTAGCAGCTTTTAAGATATCCCCTTGTGCTGCCACCACCTCCAGGAATACGGTCCAACAGCTGGAAATTGAGATAGTTCAGTCGATAGTTTAGTTGATCGGCACAGTCACAACGGGCTAAATGTCCTTCTTCTGCGCTGTAAACCTCTATGTCTATGGTTGGAACCTAAATTGTAGGAGGATACAGAGAGGCTTCAGGGAGATGTGAGGAGGTTAAGGACACAGGCTAGAATATAGCAGATGGGATACAGAGTGTGTAAAGTTTTCATTTCCTTATTTACATGTTACTTAAAGCAATCAATTAAGAAGGCAAATGGTACATTTGCTTTAATTACAAGGAGATTTGTATATCTTGTCACAGTTGTATAAAGCCTTGGTAAGACCACAGTTTCAGTCACCTCATCCAAGGAGAGGTGCGCTTATTATAGAGGGACTGTAATGGAAATGTGATCAGGAGGAATTTCTACAGGATGGTGCCAAATCTTCGGAATTATTTACCCAAAGGGGCCGTGGAAACTCAAACACCGGATAAGTTTAAGAAAACTAACTACGTGAAGGGATATAAACAGTGCGGGAAAATGGCAGGATGAGACTGAATGGCCGAGCAGGATCGACAGCTAATAGCCCACTCCTGCCAGATGACTGGGATACAAGTTTACGTCAGTTAAAGGCTAGTAGGAGTCACTTTCGTTCCGTCCAGTCTAACTAGTGGTACTTCACAAAGTCTTGCTGTCTTCAGAAATTGAAAAATACCACTGGATGGGGATGTTAGCAACATTTCATGGAATCCATTCTTTTCATCCATTAACAGCCACACAAAAAAAAACACGCTGGGCAATCAGAAGACAAAATGCTTTCCAGGCTATAAATAAGGTTTCGCTTCGCATCATACCGTTTGATCAATTTAAAACGGGAATATCACAACGGCGGTAATGTGCGTTAAAACAAGGAGTACAGACGGAAGCGGAAACTGACCGCAACATGGCGGTGCCGGTTCGCCTCGACAGCAGCTGCAGCAAACAGAGGCCCTTCCGCCCCCTGAAGTAGGAGGGTGCGAACCCTGAGCAGCAACCCTCATTTCTTTCCCTCTCTCCGGGCTTGGCCTCTCGCTTTTGTCCCCCGGCGCGAGCCTTTAACCAGATACTCACCCACGCTCTGCACTCCGGGCCGCTTTCCGCTTCCGCGCTGCCATTTTCTGGACGATGGAAAACGAAACTGTACACACGGCGTCTGAGTTGCTGCCTCAGCCTGTCACATCCCCGGCCGCAGGCCCTGACACCAAAACCCCAGCCTCCAGCTCCAGGCCGCACGCATTTTCCGCTGAAGACATTACGCCGACGTGAACCCCTTAGCACGCGTGCGCAACCCGCCGGGGGCGTGGCTCTATACCACGTGACGGCGAAGGCAGCCAGGGGTCGTGTTAGGAGAGGCTGGCGGGAAACTAGCACGTGGAGGTGTTTTACAGGGATTGCAGAAGAGGCGATGAAGCGTACACGAACCGGAGCACCAAGATTGCAAGATATAGAAAATGCTGGGAACATCTGATAAGTCAGTGGCCACATCTCCAGGTGGAGAAAGGTCGTTAATGGACAGGTTTCCAGCCTCCACCGCAAACCTTTGATCAAGACGCATCAAATTTGTCTGAATTTTCAATCATTTTTGAAAATGAAGGGCTGTGTCGTGTCCTTGCGCTCTCCGATGACAAATAGATGCCAAAAGAAAATGGGTAACAGTTAATACATTAGATTGAAGATGCTGGCAAATGGAAATGGTACAGCCAGTAAGTAATTAATAGCACAGATAGACTGATGTGATTTATTGCCATCACGTACCTAAATACAGTGAAAAGTTTTGTTTTGTGAGCTGTACAGGCAGATCATAACAAACAAAGACATGAAGAATTTTCTGAAGAAGGGTCTAGGCCAGAAACATCAGCTTTCCTGCTCCTCTGATGCTGCTTGGCCTGCTGTGTTCATCCAGCTCTACACCTTGTTATCTCATGAAGAATGTAAGGTGTTTAGACAGAGCGAGGCATACGAGGTTACGACTGCAAAGGGGGTAGACAGAAGCAAGGTCACCGTTAGATTTGAAATTAGAGAGGTCCATTCAACAGTGTAAATCACAGAACCATTATAGCACAAGTATTGGCCTGAATTCAGATTCTGAGTCAGTGTTGATGTGTTAAGATTTTGAGGGCTAAACACCGAATCTATGATTGCAACTGAATTGAAGGATTGATGTTCACTTCTGGATTTTGTGCCACAAAGCTGTGCAGCAGGGGGTTCATGAATCAGCAGTCTTCCATGTTGAACACTGATTTAAGAAGCAATGAGGGTGGCAAGGTCACAGAATGAACTCCGGGTGAGAAACTTCAAGGTTCGTCATTAAGTGGATTGGCAGCACCATTACCAACCGAATTAGCCAAGTCCTAATGGATATTCCTAGGGAATTTTTATGGTCTTTCATGGGATGTGAGCATCACCAACAGCATTTGTGTTCCATCTATAATTGCCCTTGAATTGAATAGCTTGCTAGGTCATTTCAGACAATGTCAAAGACACCACCGTCGCTCTCTCTGGTTATGCCCTGACCCACTGGCAAAATTGGCAGCACAGTGGTACACATTGGGAAGGAGTTGCCCTGGAAGTCCTCATTATTAACACTAGACCCCTTGAAGTCTCATCTAGTCGAGTTGCCTTGGAAGTCCTCATTATTATCTCTAGACCCCTTGAAGTCTTATCTAGTCAAATATGGATAAAGAAACATGCTGATTACTGCCTAATGTACCCCTTGATAGATGAATCAGAACTCCTACCAATACTCAAAATATCTGGAGGAAGTGGGTGAAATTTCTCCCTCATACCAAAGTGGCCAAATAAGTGACCAGTTAGAAAATAGTTGCTCCTTTGTGTCACACTGACAAAGTTTGAAAGGAGCAGCTTCTCCAGTCACAGCTATTTTTCCCACACTTCCTAGTGAACCTATCAACAGCAAGTGCAGGAGGGTAATAGACTGTGATTGGAGGAGCAATGAGAAGCTAAGTAGCAACATTGAACAAGTGTGAGCCCTGGGTCTGGGGGAGAATAGTTCTGAGTCTGAAAGGCAAAGCCAGTGGGAGAACACATCTGCATGGTGAGGCCATGGGGTGAGCAACTCTGGCTGGTCTTTAATGCTAATCACCAAAAGGCAGAAGCATTTGCGAGAATCTTCAGCCAGAAATGCTAAGTTGACAGTTTATTTTGGCAGCTTCCTATGGTCCTGACAATTATGGATGCCAATCTTCAGCCAATTTAGTTCACTCTGTGATAACAAGAAATGATTGAATGCACAGGGTACTGCAAATTCTACGGGTTCTGAAAACATTCCAGCAATAGTATTCAAGAATTGTGCTCCAGAACTAGCTATATCTCAAACAAGCTGTTCTAGTATGGCAAGATGGTGGCAAGGTAAGTCACTCCGTTCAGAACTCCACTCTGCTCACCAGTTCTCTTTTTATTTTGTCCTTTTATTCTCCCTCCATAGTAATTCTATCCCCCCCACCCCTTTTAACTACCTACCTAAGGAGTGAGGAAGAAGCTGGGTCGCGATGGGAACCACGTGGCAGGAGCTAAATGCACAGGTTGTGTCCTGCAGCGATGGCGGTTTGAGCATGGGCCAGAGCGATAGTGGCGGATCAAGTGTGGGCCAGCGAGAGCAGGCTGGTGAGGCATCAGTTACGAGATCAGGCCAGTGAAGCAGCCCAGACTGGGATGCTGGCAGCAGCATGGCGTGTGCTGAAAAGCCCAGAGCAGGACTGCGGCAGTGGAAAGGAAAGTTGGACTCATCTTTTTTTCTTATTTTAAGTTAATCTGAATGGTGCCATGTATGTATGGCACCGTACACACTTTTCGCTGTATTTTTACATTGAATACACATGACAATAAATGATTCAGTTCAATAGCACAGCTGCAATACCTGGAAATGTGGAAAATTGCCTCCGTATGCCCTGTTCACTAAAAGAAAAAATCCAAACAAAACCAGTTACTGCCCTCATTTGTCTATGGTTGATCATCAAAAAAAAATCAGCAAAGTGATGAAATGTGTGTTTAACAGTGCTATTAAATGATACTTACTCAGCACTAACCTACGCATGAATGGTCAGTTGTATTCCATCAGGACCATTCATCCATGACTTCATTACAGTCTTGATCCAAATGGGAAGAAAAGCCCTGAACTTAAGAGTTAAGGTCAGAGCACCTTGCTGCTGATATCAAGGTTTCATGAGATCAATTGTGTCATTGAGGAGCTCTAGCCAAACCAGAATCAATGGGAACCACTGAGGAAATCTTTATAGGTTGGAGTCATACCTATCATAAAAGAAGAGAGTTATGTGCATTGGAATTGAATAATCTCAGTCCCAGTACCTCAGAGTGATATCATAGACCCTACCATCTTCAGCTGCTTCATCAGTGACCTGTTTTCCTATAATATTTTCTCAGATAACCACTCTTGGTAACTTGTGTTATGTGTTAGCTGTACCAGTATGTCGTATTGGATAGAGGTTATTTGAGATAGGTCCCTGCCACCAATTCTACTTTGTCTTTGTCTTGGATTTATCTTGTGATCTGTGGTACACAATACACCAACTTAGACAATCTATAGAGCGGCCATGTTCTCAGACAACGACAGAAGTTTATCACCTTGTAGAAGTAAGTACAACTAAATACTAGGACCTTAGGGAACTGGCATGGATGTAGCTGTTCCCTCCAAAAGTTTCAGTAGTACTCCTCATCTCCACCCACATAATCAGAAGTCAGATGACACCAGGTTATAGTCCAACAGGTTTATTTGAAATCACAAGCTTTTGTAGTGTTGCCTCTATGTCAGGTGAAGTGAGAGAGGAGCACACAGGCACAGAATTTATAGACAGAGAGATAAATGGGCAGAGACATCAAAAGATCATGCAATGTGAGTGTCAACAGGTCGAATAATAGATCTCTGCAGGTGATCAAGAGTATCACATGGTATGAGTAAAGGGTCAACAGCTGAATAACATGCGAAGGGATGACCTATAATCCAATTAAATGGGGTAGAGAGATAATTACAAGAAATTAAAAATAAGACAGTGCTGGAGACAAACCAATGACCAGAATAAAAGATATGTATAAGAATCGTATGCCGAGTGTCTAACCACAGTATTAAGTAATCCAAAACTGTACAAACTGACTAAGGTAAAGAGATCATAAGACTTTATCAAAGTGATAGTGTTACAACAGGATAGTAAGGAAGATTTTACAGGTACAGAACAGTGTGATGGGGTCACATATAGTGCGACATGAACCCAAGATCACGGTTGAAGCCGTCTTCATAGATACAAAACTTGGCTATCAGTTTCTGCTCAGCGATCCTGTGTTTTTGTGTATCTTGAAGGCCACCTTGGAGGATGTTTATCCGAAGATCGGAGCCTGAAGTGTTCCCTGACTGGGAGGGAACATTCCTGTCTGGTGATTATTGCGTGGTGTCCATTCATCCGTCGTTGTAGAGTCTACATGGTCTCACCAACATACCATGCCTTGGGGGATCCTTGCCCATAGCGTATGAGATAGACAACATTGGCCAAGTCACATGAGTATCTGCCGTGTACATGTTGGGTGCTGTTTCCATGTGTGATGGTAGTGTCCATGTCGATGATCTGACATGTCCTGCAGAGGTTGCCATGGCAGGGTTGCGTGGTGTTGTGATCGATGTTGTCCCGAAGGCTGGGTAGTTTGCTGCGAACGATGGTCTGTTTAAAGTTTGACGATTGTTTGAAGGTGAGACGTGGGAGCATAGGGATGATCTTGGCGAGATGCTTATTGTTATCAATAAGATGTTGATGGTTGCAAAGAACATGACATAGTTTCTCCGCTCCTGGGAAGTACTGGATGACGAAGGGTACTCTATCAGTCCCTTCTCGCCTTTAAACAACTGCCAACTTTAAACAGACCATCATTCACAGCAAACTACCCAGCCTTCAGGACAACATCGACCACAACATCACACAACCCTGCTACGGCAACCTCTACAAGACATGTCAGATCATCAACATGGATACTACCATCACATGTTCTGAAAAGTTGTGATTTCAAATAAGCCTCTTAAACCATGACTTGGTGTCATTTGACTCCTGACCTTATCCACCCCGGTGCAACAAATGCAACTCCACATCATGTCTGCCCACATAATGTCTGTGACTTTAGTGGAATGGAGCCAATCTAACATAAATATTAATCTTTTCAAAAACACTTACATACACCATCTCCCCACAAGATTTTTAATCCAAAGTTAACAATATCATGTATGTAACTGTACAAGATTTATCACCACCCATCTCCCCTCAGCATTGGCCACAAATGCAGGTGGTCTGAACATTTCACCTGTTTCTC